GAGAGAGAGAGAGAGAGAGAGCAGGCGAATAATGTCGGAGGGTTGGTGATGCACTGGTCGCGTGCTGGGCGTGATGCACGCGCAGCAGAAGCAAGCGGCAGCAAACGTGACGAGAGCATGATGGGCTCACCCACCAAGCCAACATGCACGACACACGTCAAGAACGCAAGTACACGGAAAACACGTGCGAAACCATCTACATAAACACACGGAAGCATACAAATACGCACACACACATGCACACGCACACGCACGCTCACACACACAGAGACACGGACAGACAGACAGACACACACACACACACACACACACACAAAGGGTCACAGCAACTCACGTTAGAGCAGAGGAAGCAGACGAGGCCGGCGTCGAGAGGAAGCTTCAGCAGTCTGCAACACCACAATAACGCTATAAGTGAGCTGCCCCCACGATGCGTGTGCACGAGCGCGCACCTGCGTTCCCTGTCGTCACCTTCCCGTCATATGTATGCTCAACACTATCAAGCGTATGCAACCCATGCGCGGTTGGAAACGATCTGCAATACAGCCTGCCACGTGCATGTCCACCATACCTGATGACGATGCAGAGGATGGGGAGGGTCACCTCGACGCCCCTGGTGATTTCGAGCGGCATGATTCGTTCCGCTTTCAGCGTGAAGGGGTTTTGCTTCGTCATCATGCAGTGCAGCATGCGCTGCCATAGTGTTCTGGCAACTGGCTGTTGTCACCAGGACCCGGAGGGGAAGACAGTGGTCGAGAGCACGAGCTGTCGTCAGATTGGTCGTCATGCACAGGCTCAAACACACCCAGAATGCAGGGCGCAAGGAGGGAGGCAGACAACAACGGTGCTTGTTGTGGGTGGAATCTGCACATGCCAACAGCAACAGTGCCAGCATCCGAGAACAGACAGCAATGATACCTTGAGCTCGGATTCGTCAATCTCGAGGTACTTGGCGACCGCTCGCACCTGCACGCGTTGGAAAGTGCGCGCGTGTGCATGTGTGTGTATGTGGAAGAGAGCGTGTGAGCAGGCTCAAACATGGTCCCATAAACAACAGCAGCAGCAACACCAACAACACCAACAACAACAACAACAGCAGCAGCAGCAGCAGCAGCAGCAACAACAACAACAACAACAACAACAACAACAACAACAACAACAACAACAACAACAACAACAACAACAACAACAACAACAACAACAACAACAACAGACTGTGCCTAACCTGGTGCTTGAGGAGGATGACACTGCACATTTGCATGGCGTGCAGCGTTCGATGCGCGCGTGCGGCGTCGGGTGTCCTTGTCTTTGCAGCCTTTGCTTTGCCAACCTTGACCGTACGCATACGGCCAAACTCTTCCGCCTCAGCCTCCTCATGTCGGTAGTCCTAAATGGTGATGAAGACACCAAGGAAGGCCACCAACACAGTATGCGTGCAGCGCAAAGTCATGCGTTCAAGCTTGCACCAGCAGTACACAGCTGCGTGCACATGCACACGTAAACGAAGGTACAAGCACACATGTACATGCACACATGTACATGCACACACACACACACACACACACTCACAAAAGCACGTACCTGGGAGAGGGTGCCGCAAACACCACAGACACCGTTGGCTCCAAGGGCTGGAGCACCACATGTGCCGCAGATGGCCATGATGGATGAGACGCGAGAGACAACCGAGCAGTTGAGGACTGTGTAGCGACAGCAAATAATGTAGTCGCAGGCAACACGGCATCCATTTCAACGATGAGCTGACTGATGAGGAGTGTGTGTGTCATCCAGGCACCACCCCACACCAACACACACTCAACACACTCAACACACTCACAACACACTCAACGCATCAAGACAGACACACACACACACACACACACACACACACACACACACACACACACACACACACACACACCTCTGCATGGCGGAGGGCGGGAGTGTGCAGCTGCGATTGCTGCACTTGAAAGGCCTTCGGCTTGCATTGCGAAGTAGCGATGTGGCCGTCACGTGCAAGACCGACACAAGCTTCGGACCACACCGGGCGCGAGCTGTGATAACAAAGCGGACAAGCTACGAGCAGCAGCCCTCGCTCACAGTGGGAATCGAGGGCGCAAAGTTCCTCAAAGTCATCGTGGCAGACCTGCTCACCTTTGGCCGAGAAAGCGTCGTCGGCACAGCCACCATCGACCTCCAGCAGCTTGCCATCGCCGTTGGCAGCACCCGCACCTTGTCACTGCCGTTATCGCCTCAGGGAGAAGTCAAGGTCTGGATCCGATTCCTGGGAAGCAGACCCATGTTTGGCGTCGACCTGCAAGCCATCACCCAGCGTGAAGGGACCACCGTTCCACGCATCGTCACCAGATGCATACGGGCGGTGGAGGAAGCAGGCCTCGGTGTCGGTGAGTGCCCCAATGTCACATTGCATCCCAGGCTGGCTTGCGCTGCCTGTATTCCTGCTGTGTCTCTGCACACACGCACCCAGCAGACACACTGCCAGGCTCAGCGCCAGACACAACTGTAGACACAGCCACAGGCACAGTTGTAGTCACAGCCACACCGGTCTCCTGCGTTCAACGCCTCACCACCAAACGCACTTCCCTTTCCATTTGGTTGGTTTGACTGCTTTTTTTTTTTTTATTGTGCTGCACTGCAATTGTGTGTACGATGACATAGAGGGCATATATCGGGTGCCAGGTTCGCAGCCGGCCATCGACGCTCTCAAGGCTTCCTTCCAGGAAACGCAGGGCCAATTCGAGGTGTATGTGTATGAGTGCGTGCGCGTACGAGTTTGTGTGCGTGTGTGAGTGTGTGTGAGTGAGTGTGTGTGTGCGTGTGCGTGCGCGCGTGTGTGTGTACGCGTATGTGTGTGTGCATGTGTGCCTCTTTGGTTTTTGGGTCTTCCAAGGCGTTAATTATCGCTCACATTGCTGGCCTATCATCGCCTCTCATCTCAACATGAATACGTGCGCGACACAGTTTAAGAAGGAGCACCTGGTGAGCATCAACAACGTTGCCAGCTTGCTCAAGCAGTTTCTGAACGCGCTGCCGCGCTCGCTGCTGCACAGCCAGGCGGCGACGATGCTTGCCATCTTTTCCAAAGGCGCCCCCTCCACCATGAACCGCGCCTTGTTTGAGAGTTTTATGGCAGTCGACGAGCCCAGTCGTGCAACGGCGCTCGCCCTCCTCACGCACATGCGCAAGGTTGTGTCGCGTGCACGTGCAAGCGCGTGTCTGGTTGTGGGGTTGTTCGTTGCGTGTGTTGCGTGTGTTGCGTGTGTTGCGTGTGTTGCATGTGTTGCGTGTGTTGCGTGTGTTGCGTGTGTTGCACGTTGTAGTGGTGGAAGCTGTGACCGTTGGGTCGTTGTCTTTGTATCTACTTGTCACTGCGCTTGTTTGCTCCGTTGCCCTGCTCTTGACAACCGCCCATCTCATCATTGTGTTTCCCCGTGGCCTTCTCTTGACCCACAGATTGCCAAGCATTCAGACAAGAATCAGATGACCTTCTCCAACCTTGCCACGTGCTTTGGGCCAAACCTCATCTCGCACCCCAGCACCCCCACACACGCGCCCACAACCGCAGAGGAAATGCACAGGATTGCATCCCAATCAAGGTCTGCGCGACGCACGCGTCTGTGTGTGTGTGTGTGTGTGTGTGTGTTGTGTGTATGTGTGTGTCTGTGAGGGGGGGGGGGGTTGCTTTTTTCCCCGTCTCGTGGATCACAGTCTGCATTTGAGCCCACTGTGACACGCATCTCACCTTGCTTCACACAACTGCAACGCACTCGGTGCCCCTGCAAACAGGGAGTGCAACGCGTTTGTGTCGTATTTGCTTGGACAGGACGACCTGCTGTGCGCGTGTGCGTGTAAAGACGAGAGCAAACTGGAGAGTGATGGCCCGCCCTCGCCCGTCTCTGCATCATCTTCGTCATCATCCACCTTGTCCACTTCATCTGCATCAGCACACAGGGTGAGTCCAGTTCGTGAACGAGCAAGTGGGTGCAGTTGGGCGTACGCCCTGTGTGTTGTATTGCTTTTTGACTTGGCACTGTGTGCGATACGCATGTGTGTGTGTGCTTATGATCGTGTGTGTCGATAACCAAGGTGTCACTTCATTATTGCCGTGCGTTTCTCATCACAAAGCAATGCGTGTACGTGTGTGTGTATGTGTGTGTGTGTGTGTGTGTGTGTGCGTACGTGTGTAAATGTGTGCATGTGCGTGTGTGTATGCAGCGGCCGCTCGATGTGTTTCAGCAACACCAGCCCGTCGACTTTACTGCTTTCCGCCTTGTCTGCCACGAGCTTGTAAGCTGCACACATTCGCACATTCGCAAATGCTCGCACGTGCGTCTATCACAGCTGTGCGCGGGTATTTTTTTTTGTGTGTGTGTGTTTTCGTGCTTGCGAATGCGTGCATGTGTTAGTGCTCATGCTTGTGTTTGTGTTTGTGTGTGTGCATAAAAGTGCTTCTCGTGCCTCAAGCCGTCTCACTTCACGCGATTCCCGTTGGTTGAATGCGCACACAATGGGGTTGGTTGTTGTGATGCACAGGGCTGGTACGTTGCGCGCGACGAAGAGCACGTGTTCGCGGAAGCAGCGGATGGAGCGTCCACCATCTCCTGGCGACAGTTCAAGCGGTGGGTGGCAATGTCCATGTGTCCCGTTTTGAGTTCGTGATGTGTGGCATGTGCAGGCAAGCTGCTAACCGTTATGGCGAGGCGCGCACACACAGCGCGCGCACAACACAACAACAACAACAACCGCAACAGCAACAACAACAACCGCAACAACAACAACAACAACAACAACCGCAACAACAACAACAACAACCGCAACAACAACAACAACAACAACAACCGCAACAACAACAACAACAGCAACAACAACACCAACAACACACACACTCACACTCACACTCACATTTGTGGTATTTGACATGTGCTGGGAGCAGGTGGTGGGAGGAGAGCGATCGAAGCAAGCTGTCGTCGCAGAAGCTGTATGCTCTCAAGCGCGCCGCTCGCTTCTTCATGGTAACACCGCATGCATGTGTGTGCACGTGTGTGTGCTTGCGTGTGAGGGAGGGTGGTTGGAAGGCGGGTGTGTGTGTGACGTTGAATTGCACCTTTCCCTTTTCCTTCACACGCACACACACACACACACACACACACACACACACACACACACACACACACACACACACACACACACACACACACACACACACACACACACACACACACACACACACACACCACGGGCAGCTATTCGCAATACATGACGCTGCTGATCCGGTCCAGCGTTCTGTGACGGCCGACGAGTGCGCCGTCGTGCAAAGCGCAGTACGTTGCAGTGACGGGTGTGGCGCACACGTGCGCGTGGGTGTCTCTCTTGAGAACTCATGTTCTCGAGCGCACCTGCTCGTACTATTCGTTTTGTTGCACTGCCTCGTGTTGCTCTGCCCCCACTTATTCCCTGTTTCAACCCCCCCTCTCTCTTCTATTCACACACACACACACGCACACACAAAAGTGCACGCGCATTCCCTTCTCTCTTCCGTTTATGTTAACTTCCCGCTGCGTTTGCACTATCGACAACAACCAGAGACTTTGTAGTGCCACGTTTGCTTTGCCAATCGTTGTCCATACGCCATCTCTGGTCGCTTCCTGTTCATTGACCGTTCTGACCCCCAGTTCTAACTGCCGCTGCTGCTACCCTCCACCCCGTTGTTCTACCTTCACGCCAGTTATTGTTGTTGTTGTTGGTGTTGCTGCTGGTGTTGCTGCACATGGTTCCTGGTATGAGGTCATGCTCACACAGCCAAACCAACGCGCGCACACAATACAAGTACACCCTCGCAAGTGCGTGCTAGCACAAGCTTGATTGATGGCTCACAACTCATCAGGTGTAGCCGTTTATCTTGCGATAGAGGTCAAAATAAGTACGCGAGCAATTAATTTCGTTGAAGAAGAGGAAGGGTGTGCGTGTGTGTGTGTGCGTGTGTGTAGAGAAGATGTAGGGCGAACGAACGAACGAACAACAACAACAACAACAACAACAACAACAACAACAACAGGGCAACGAACACCAAGAGGGGTCCACGTGTAACACACGACATTGGTCTACAGGAGACCACGACCACGACCCCCAACACCATGCAAAGCCACCAGCACCATCCGCAGCACGTCAGCGCGCGTCGTCGCTTCTCCAGCGGCGAAAGGCGAGCATGAGCGCGCGGAGGCGGAGTGTTGTTCGGACGGTGGTGAAGGTGACAAGGCCGTGCGTGTGCACGTTGGGGGGAAGGCGTTGAATCAGCTCGTGGCTGTGGTGCAGAAACATTACTTCCTCCTCGGGCTGCAGTGCACACCGCACAACATGGCCGTGGTAGTGTGCATGCGTGAATGCATGTGTGTGTGTGTGTGTGTGTAAATATGTGAATGGGTATGTTATGAGGGATGAGGGATAGGAAAGGGAATGGGAACACAAAGGTTCAAAACAAAACACACGTACACACACGTACACACATGCAGGCACACACACACACACACACACACACACACACAAGTGCACGTACACACGTACACACAGACACAGACACAGACACAGACACAGACACAGACACAGACACAGACACACACACACACAGACACACACACACACACACACACACAAACGTAAAACACCCCCCCCCCCCACCCACACGCACACGCGCGCGAGTGCGCACCTTGAGCTCTTCAAAGCCGTGGATGGCGCGCCGATGCTGAAACCACTGGGTGAGCAACCGCAGGTCGTGCTTGTTAATACACAACCTGTGGAGCTGCACGCGGCACAGTGTTGGGCTCAGCCCGATGTAATTCTGAATGGGGAGATCGGGGGAGTGGGGGAAGGGGCGGCAGCAGTTGGTACCGGCATGGGCATGCTTGAAACACAACGTGTGTGAACGTCACGTCTGCTCAGAGGCAAGTAGCTCCGTACACACGGGAAGAAGTGGCCGTGCAATCATGCACACAGACACACAGACACACAGACACACACACCACACACACACAGACAACACACAGGCACGCAGACACAGACACAGACACAAAACCAGACACAGACACACACACACGCACACACAGGCACACAGAAACACGAGGCAGGGCGGACCTGCTGCATAAAGGCGAGAAGTTCTGCTGTCACGTCAGCATGTGTGTCCAGCATTCGCGCCACTTCATCTGTCAGCTCAATCTTCCGCGCTGTGTAGTCGTCTTCAACCGTGTACGCTTCGCCTGTACACACATACACACGCATGCATGTGTGCAGCGTGATGCCAGGCGCAAAGTGAGAGACGTGAGTGCGTATGTATGTGCGTGCGTGTGCGTGTGTGTGCGTGTTTGTGTGTGCTTGTGCGCGTGTATGTGCACATGTGTGTGTGTGTGTGTCACCTTGTGCTGCTGTGAGTTGCATGGAGGGAAGGCCGTTCACTTCGATGATGAATGGATCGCACGTGTCGTCCAGGATCACGTCGACACCCAGCAGCTGCGACAGGAGAGACAAAAGCGGGCGACAAAGAGAGATGCAGGCTCAGTATGGATGGATGACGAAGAATTGAAAGTAAGAGAGCTGCTGCGAGGAATTTGTGCAAACCAAGTCTCAGCAAGAGCCGCACAGACAGACAGACAGACAGACAGACAGACAGACAGACAGACAGACAGACACAGACAGACGCAGACACACACACACACACACACACACGCACACGCACACACGCACACACGCACACACGCACACACACACACAAACGCACAGATCATGTGCTCACTTGGAAGCAGCCTTCGCAGGAGGAACCAGCCATTCGTGCGTGGAAATGGGCGTGAAAGCGTGGTTCTGAAACAAGCAGTAGACGCACAATGGCCTGAGAAGACAAAGATCATCGTGACGTGCAGTCGAGACAATGCGGTTATGCAGGCGATCAGTGTGTTGTCGAGCGCATGTGAACTTGCAGAGAGCGGTTGGGGGATTGGAGGATTGGAGGGGGAGGGGGCGGCTTGGTGAGGTTGTGGGCACTTGCATACACACACGCACACGCGCGTACAAGAGTGTAAGTGCTCACCGCTTTGATTCGCTTGAACACACGCTTGCTGCCTAGTTTAGTCTGGTCGAGCCTGGGAGCACGTACGAGGACATGTGTGGGTGAATGGCTGCGTTGCTCATGAAGGCAAGTGCATGCAACGCACAGGCAAACAGCCCATTGCACAGGACCAGCGACAGAGAGACAGAGAGACAGACAGACACACACACACACAGACATAGACACAAACACACATACAGAGGCAGGCATACACAGAGACAGGCATACACAGAGACAGGCATACACAGATACACGCCCGCACACACACGCCCGCACACACACACACACACACTGACACAAATACGCAGTCAGACCATTGTTTGAAGCGAGAAAGGGTCCAGGTGAGGTCGCTGAGCGCTTTGTACTTCTTTCCTATTGATGTGTTGGTGAGATATTGCGATGGCTTTGACTTCTTCGTGTCCGTGCTGTACTTCTCAGCCGCAAGTCGTACCAGGCCTGCAATGCACCCACAGAGGCACGTAGAGACAGAGGCACACAGATGCACACGCACACAAGAGCGAACGTGAGCCACAGCATTCATGAGGTGCGTGCTGTCCACACACCCACTCACACACAAAAATGCAGGCCTGCGTTGCCCAGTGCAGGGAGTGAAGCGACACCTTCGTGGAAGAGGTAGCAGGTGAGCGGGCTGATTGACGTCACGAGCACATAGAGCCGCAAGTCAAACTTGTAACCGTTGATGAGCAATGGATTTGTGAGCAGTGGCTGTGCAATGGCGCCTTCCGTGAGGAACTTGCGCTTGCTGGATGCTTCCACATCACCAATGCTGTCTGCAATGAAGATGCCCCGCCCCTGTCATCCATGTACACGCAATGAATGGGTATGTGCACATGTGCACGATGCGCAAGCCGTGTCAGAAGCAGTGGCGGCATCGTGATGACAGGTTGCAGCTCGAGAAACCGCTGCAGGGAGAGGGGTGATACCACAAGAAGCACCAAGAGAAGCAACAAGAGCACGGGTAGTCATCATGCATGTCCAATATATGCTCACCTCGCCGCGTGCTCGCGGTTTGATAATCCAGGGCTGCTGCGGCTGCTCTGCCATGGCGGCGCCCAAGGCGTCCAGCTCGCCAGGAAGAGAGAAGCACGGGAACACAAAGTTCAGCTGCCGTGGAGACAGGCCATACTCCTGCACTTGGCCATACACACGCGCGAGGTGCAGAGGGTGGAGGCACACAGACATAGGTACACGCGTGAGGTGCAAAGGGTGAGATACACACATACACTGCATACAACTCACCACGCACACACACACGCACACACACACACACACACACACACAAACACACACACACACACACACCACGCACACACCTTGATGGTTTGGCAGAGAGCATCCTTTTTCCAGAGGATGTTGCGCATGCCGCTGATCTGGTTGATGTGTTGTTGTTCTGTCATGCGCACGTGGCTCATGGGTGACAGGCACGTGCTGTCTTGGCGGCGCAGCCCCAAGCAGAAGAGGTGGGACCAGCCAGTCGTTCCTCTGTGCCGTTCGCTGACGCTCATTCCCGCATGCTCCTCTGCGACACTGTAGTTGCGCAGGCCATATGCCCTCCTCCATGCAGGTCCATCGCGATCCAGGTAGTACAGCTGTCCCCATGGTATGAAGAAAGGAAGGAAGGGAGGAAGGAAGGAAGGGAGGGAGGAAGGGAGGAAGGAAGGAAGGGAGGAAGGCAGGTATGTTGGGTGGTGACCTGGCAGTGAGCGAGATGCAGCCAAGAATGGGAAGAATCGCATGCCAGAGATAGGAGATGGCAAGCGCACGAGCAAGCGCACAAGCGCACAAGCGCACAAGCACACATCCGCTGCACAAGGCATGCACGGCACGATGCACGATTGTGTTCGCACTTGCTGGCTCTGCTTTGAGGACGCGCTTGGGGATTGTGGGTTGATGGAGGTGTCGACGAGCAGTAAGCGGTTATGGGCGGGGGTGCTCTCTGCAATGATGTGACGCACATGTTCCGCGACCACGCTATTCGTGTCTGCTGCTGCTTGAGTCACACCCACACCGACCACCACCACCACCACCACCACCAGTGCTGTGAGCATGATGTGTGTGTGTGTGTGTGTATGTTTGTGCATGTGTGTGTGTGTGTGTGTGTGTGTGTTTTTTGTGT